ACATGCTGGCACATGATAAGCACACCCGCTCAAGTGCATTCGCATAGCAGAGCACACATGCTGGCACATGTGATAAGCACACCCGCTCAAGTGCATTCGCATGGCACTGCGCACATGCTGGCACATGATAAGCACACCCGCTGTAGTGTACTCGCCTAGCACTGCACGCATGCTGGCACATAATAGGCACACCCGCTCACGTGCATTCGCATAGCACTGCGCACATGCTGGCATATGGTAAGCACACCCGCTCAAGTGTGTTCGCGTAGCACTGCACACATGCTGGCACATGAAAAGCACACCCGCTCAATGCATTCGCATTGCAGAGCACACATGCTGGCACATGATACGCACAGCCGCTCAAGTGCATTCGCATAGCAGAGCACACATGCTGGCACGCGATAAACACACCCGCTCAAGTGCATTCGCATGGCACTGCGCACATGCTGGCGCATGACAAGCACACCCGCTGAAGTGCACTCGCCTAGCACTGCATACATGCTGGCGCATGATAAGCACACCCGCTCAAGTGCATTCGCGAAGTATTCGCGTAGCACTGCGCACATGCTGGCACAGGATAAGCACACCCGCTCAAGTGCAGTCGCATAGCAAGCACACCCGCTCAAGTGCATTCGCACAGCACAGCACACATGCTGGCACATGATAAGCACACCCGCTCAAGTGTATCACATGATAAGCACACCCGCTCAAGTGCATTCGCATAGCGCTGCACACATGCTGCCACATGATAAGCACACACGCTCGAGTGCATTCGCATAGCAGAGCACACATGCTGGCACATGATAAGCACACCCGCTCAAATGTATTCGCGCAGCACTGCACACATGCTGGCACATGATAAGCACACCCGCTCAAGTGCAGTCGCATAGCAAGCACACCCGCTCAAGTCCATTCGCACAGCACAGCACACATGCTGGCACATGATAAGCACACCCGCTCAAGTGCATTCGCATAGCACTGCACACATGCTGGCACATGATAAGCATACCCGCTCAAGTGTATGCGCGCAGTGCTGCGCAGATGCTGGCACATGATAAGCACACCCGCTGAAGTGCATTCGCGTAGCACTGCGCACATGCTGGCACTGATAAGCACACCCGCTCAAATGTGTTCGCGTAGCAGTGCACACATGCTGGCACGTGATAAGCACACCCGTTCACGTGTATGCGCGTAGCATTGCGCACATGCTGGCACATGATAAGCACACGCGCTCAAGCGCATGCGCGTAGCAGAGCACACATGCTGGCACATGATAAGCACACCCGCTCAAGTGTGTTCGCGTAGCAGTGCACACATGCTGGCACATGATAAGCACACCCGTTCACGTGTATTCGCGTAGCACTGCACACATGCCGGCACATAATAAGCACACCCGCTCAAGTGTATCACTCGATAAGCACACCCGCTCAAGTGTTTTCGCATAGCCGTCGTTGTTTGGCACAGTCCTCGCCGTCCGACACGCAGCCTCCGCGGCCGACACGGACCATCGGGTTCTGACTCGCAGACCTTACTTCGCTAAGTTGGCTCCGCATCTACGTCTCGTTGACATGCTCGCTGTTCGGCACCGCCGACTCCGCGGCCGACGCGGGCCGTCGTTGTCTGACACAGTCCTCGCCGACCGACACGTGGCCTCCGCCTCCGACTCGGACCGTCGGGCTCTCACTCGGAGACCTTCCTTCGCTACGTTTGCTCGGCGCACACGTTGCTCTTGCGCGCTCGCCGTACGACTCCGCCAAGTAGCGCCATCCGACTCGGACAAACGCGCCGGCTGACACGGACATCCGGTGCCGCGCGCGATTTTTTGCCGGCCAGCAAAGATAATAGCTGGCTTTTTGACGTCCTGGAGGCGTGACGCTGCATCCCTGAGGAAAACCAGTGATTTCAGCACACTGCGCGCTCATTACAGGGGGATTCCAGGCTTTCGGCGCGCGCGCTAACAGCATGATGGTGCGCTGTTGTTGTTGCAAAAGCAGTCTCCATGTCGATACGTGCTTTTGCAGCGTCTGAGGCAGCGGTCATATAGAAACGTGTAAAGAGTATATAGGTGTCTGTGCCTATGCATATGTATATGTGTTTGCACAAGCATATTCATATTATATATACACATGATGATACACATATATATACACATACAAAGCGGAATCCTTGGTGTACCTGCACCTACACATTTCACCCACTAATTCGTTTACTCATTGGCTTGATGCAGCAACAGCGATCCGGACCAGTCCGCTATTGCCGTTTCGGCTTGGAGAGGGTGCGCAGTGTTCAACATGACGAGGAAACATTCGCAGCAGAGAGCAAGCAACTGGCAGCGCCGCCAACCGGCAAAAGCTCCGCTGGAGCAGCCTCGGCCAAAGCCGGCGCAACCAAAGCCGGCGCACGCAAAGCAAGCGCACGCAAAAGCACCGCTAGAGAGACCTCGAAAGCCAGCCACGGCGCCACCGGCGAAGCCGGAGCACCCAAAGCCGGCACCTGCGCAGCCGAATTCAACACAGCCGGCGCACCCAACGCAGCCCGCGCAGCCACTGCAGCCCGCACACACAGCGCAACCAATCCAGCCGATGCAACGGGCGGACCCAATGCAACCAATGCAGCCCGCGGAGATATGGCCGACGCAAGGTCAGCACAGTGCAGCTGCTGCAGCCGACACAGGCCATGCAGCCGATGCAGGGCAGACGACGCAGCCGATGCAGCGGATGCAGACGATGCAGCCGATGCAGACGACACAAATGATGCAGACAATTCAACCAACGCAGCCAACGCAGCCTGCAGAGTCTATGCGGCCAACAATGCAGCCAACCCAGGCCAGCCCACCCCGGGACCCGATGCAGACGATGCAGCCGATGCAGACGATGCAGCCGATACAGGCGATGCAGACGATGCGGCCGATACAGTCGATGCAGCATATGCAGACGATGCAGCCGATGCAGACGATGCAGCCGATACAGGCGATGCAGCATATGCAGACGATGCAGCCGATGCAGACGATGCAGCCGATACAGGTGATGCAGCCGATGCAGACTGCGCAGACGACACAGCTGATGCATCCAGTCCAACCAATGCAGCCAATGCAGCATGCAGAGTCTACGCGGCCAACAATGCAGCCAGCCCAGGCCAGCCCACCCCGGCACCCTTCACCTGAGTTCTGCGAGAAGGTAGCGCAAGCCTTGCGACGACATTGCGGGCATCCTGGCTGCACGTGGTCCGAATAATATTGTGGCAGGCCCCGTTGTGCAGTTTTCACACATAACGTGCGGAATAGCCCAAAGCACTAGTTCCAGCGACAAGAACAAACCGGCAAAAACAGCAAAAGCGTCATCTAGAACACCAACTCGTGTGTAGACAAGTTTTGCCCTGGCAGCAACAATGCAATAACTGAAGCAAAGACTTTGCGGAAACTACAGCATCTAAGGATCGAATCTGCTGCCGCCCCACCGTGGAAGAGGCAAAAGTGAGCCTGCGAACACCCAGCCGAGGAGTATGAGGCCAAAAAAGACGATGCAGCTGCTGCGCTGTGCTTGTAGTTTGCAAGGAAATTTAAACGCTCCAAGTATTTGGCCCTCTGAGTCATCGATCTCAAGGTTGTCTTAAAGGCGTTACTCATTGTATTCGCGTAGCGCTGCGCACACGTGTTGGCACATGATAAGCACACCCGCTCAAGAGTTTCTCATGATAAGCTCGCCGTCCGATACGCAGCCGACTCGGGCCGTCGTTGTCTGACACAGCGCTTTCCGTCCGACACGTGGCCTCCGCGGCCGACTCGGGCCGTCGGGTTCTAACTCGGAGACCTTACTTTGCTAAGTTCGCTCCGCGTCCGCGGATCTTCTGGCGTGCTCGCCGTCCGATACGCAGCCGACTCGGGCCGTCGTCGTCTGACACAGCGCTTTCCGTCCGACACGTGGCCTCCGCGGCCGACTCGGGCCGTCGGGTTCTGACTCGGAGACCTTACTTTGCTAAGTTCGCTCCGCGTCCGCGCTTCTTCTGGCGTGCTCGCCGTCCGATACGCAGCCGACTCGGGCCGTCGTTGTCAGACACAGCGCTTTCCGTCCGACACGTGGCTTCCGCGGCCGACTCGGGCCGTCGGGTTCTGACTCGGAGACCTTACTTTGCTAAGTTCGCTCCGCGTCCGCGCTTCTTCTGGCGTGCTCGCCGTCCGATACGCAGCCGACTCGCGCCGTCGTTGTCTGACACAGCGCTTTCCGTCCGACACGTGGCTTCCGCGGCCGACTCGGGCACACGTTTCCGCGCCGTCCGACTCGAACACACGCGCCGGCTGACACGGACATCCGGCGCCGTCCGACTCGACCATGCCGCCGTCCGACTCGCCGCGTCCGACACGGTCACCAGCCGATCCCGAACAGCACCCAACCGCACCATCACCTGCACACCCCAAAAAAGTACCTGCACCAGCACCCAAACTGCATGCCCTAGCACCCTGCCGTCAATCCCAACAAAAGGCACTCGTACTACTACCGGCAGCTCAAACAGCAGCCCAAACAGCACCTACACCAGCACCCCAAACTGCATGCCCCCTAGCATCCAGCCGTCAATCTCGCAAATCACTTTCCCTTCTTTTGGAAGTTAGAACCCCTATAGCTTTCAGCTATCTGGGGAAAAAGAATAAAAACTACCCTCGCCAGGGAGAAACAAAAAAGGCAACCCCTAAAAAAACACCTCCGCAGGGGAGAACAAAAACCTCCCCCTTCCCCCCCCCCAGCAAAAAAAAAACTACCCTCCCCAGGGAGACAAAAAAGGCAACCCCCCGAACTGCAACCACTGCAAGGGACAACATGTGAGTCATAATCAACACCCGGTATCAAAATGGCCTACCCAGAACCACGTAAAGAATTAAGAAGGCGGCAGCCAACTATTTATGGTTGGGATTTTCCCTTAATCAAATTCATCTACCCGGGTTTTGAGCAGGTGGCTCATGTGGCCACACCCGGCACTCCCCCGACACTGGCGCCATGGCCCCCGGCGCTGCCGGAGCTGCGCGTGCCGCCGGTGCCGGCGCCCTGGCTGACGGCGCTGGACTGCTGGGCGTAGCCGCACCTCGCTGTCGGCTCAGCCGGCTCAGACGAGGGTCGAAGTGCTTGGCTGACGTTGGAAGGGGGTCATTATATTAACGGTTTATGGGGGTTATCAAGGTCAGCAAATGTTCCCTTTAACCCACCACTTAGGGGGTGACTTTGATCATGGTAAAATAATGGGGCCAGTTGGAAGCGGAGCACAAATTTTCAGATTTTAGCAGTTAAGTGGTTTTGGATTTCAACCACTATATAAACCACAATAAGCAAAGATGTGAAATGTTTCCCAACAACAACCATGTAGAATGGGGCTGTGAGGGCTGGATATGTCGTAAATCCTCCGATCTCTGAAAAGCCCGAAAGTGGAAAATGGGTTCACCTGGAGATTCCATGTGCTCCGTTTGAGCAGGGCAGTCGCTTTGGAGGCAATCGAGCGGGTCGATGTACTAAAATCGCAAATCTGAGCGTCCGGTTAGGGGCCAAGTGTACATGCAGGTCGACCTTGCCTTTTTTCACCAGCGTTGGTGACACATCCACATAGGTACGAATGGATCAGGGTGGTCCTTTGGCATTCCGAGTGCCACTTCAGGTTTCCTTTGGGGATCGGGTTTAAAGTCCAAGTGGATGGTTCTTTGAGTTCTATGAATCGAAGAGATATGCGTTGCCTTAGGGTCCTAGGTCAAACTCTAGGCAGTACCCGTCCTCCAACCAACATGGAATCCACCAGAGCGTCGCTTTGAGAGGAAGGTAGTTTTCCAGAAGCCCCCAGTCAAGTTTAATGTTAGTGGCGAGGGGTTTCAGGTGCCACTAGACAATGAAAGACAGCCTCGTTTGGGGTGCCCCTTTTGTGATACCCAACTGCAGCACATGGAGCTGACTTTACATCCCCATTTGCGCTCGGGCCCCTGCTCGAGGTAGTCGGCGATGATGAAAATGCGGTCGTTGTCCGTGAGGCCTGCGGACAACGAAATATAGATGACTCTCGCCTATGTAGTGCCCATGTTCACTCCAGGGATCGGGTGTTGTCAGCAAGCGGCAGAAACCAAAGTGTATCTTGCTTGGCTTCTGAAAGGTGAGGTGTAAAAAGAGTGGGAGATCAACCTTTAGAGTTGTGAATAGGGCGGCCTGGAAGAAATGACAAGTATCAATCTTCTCGTGGTTTCCTTCAGGATGGGTACTTTGAACCCAACAGGCACGGCTGCCACATTTTGATGCAAGGGGTCAGTGGAAAGATCAGGTGGATTCTAGCGTCAGATACTTCAGCGTACCGTTGTGTGAAGCCCGCAAACCGTCAGTGGCTTTTGGTACCCCGTGAATTGAAAACTCGCCGCACCGGTGCCCAGCTCTAGACCTCAACGAAGTTTCAAGCGAAATCCATGTGCTCAGCTTGGTTCTCGGGAGCGATCTGTTCAGCTTCCTTTTTCCAGCCAGCAATTTGTCGGCACAAGAACAGCGAAAAACCCGAAAACATCCCTTTTCGGCACAAAGACTTGAAGTATACCGGTTTGCGGAGGTGCTAAAACGACTCCATATCCCCTTTTCTGTACTGACAAAAATCCATGCCCCAACCGTTCTAAGAAGGTTCCATATACAAAGGCCATTTTCTGGGTGGGAGGGTCTCATCGCTCAGGGCGAGTCTCGTGCCTGATCCAGTGATGGGCAGCGTGCAAGCAACCTCAGGTGAAGGGCACTTCGCCTAAGCTGCTGGTAGTGTTATGTTCCCAGATCCCAGTTCTCACCTGTTGAGTTGTGTCTGAAAGGGTGGCTCCCTTGGCTTCCTACATGGAATCACAGGGGTTGGTGGTACGAGCGGTCCGGCAACTGAACACGTGCCCAAAAACCCCTGCCGAATGGATGCGGGTAGCACCTCGATGGACTCTTGTGCTTGCTGACCTTCCCAAACACAACCAAGAGGGGTTTCAAGCGAGTATTGCGGATATTGTGAACCCGCTTGCCTGTGAAGAAACACAGATGCTTACCCAACAAAAAGAGCGTGTTGGCGATCTGTGTCGCTAAACTGCTTCGCGCTGTTGCGCTGCTGCGCTGCTCGCTGCTGCGCTGATGACTTTGCGCCGCTCTGCTGTTGCGCTGCTGCGCTGCTTTTCTGCTGCACCGCTGCGCTGTTGCGCCGCTGAAGCCGCCTCCGTTGACGTGCGCCGCTGCGCCGTTGAGCTGCTGCGCCGTTCCGCTGTTGCGCCGTTGCGTCGCTGCACCGCTGCGCCGTTGCGCCGCTGAGCCGCTGCGCCGTCGCGCCGCTGCGCCGTTCGCGGTTGCGCTCTTGCGCCGTCGCGCTGCTGCGCCGTTGCGCCGCTGCGCCCTTGCGCCGCTGCGCCCTTGCGCCGCTGCACCGCTGCGCCGTTGCGCCGTTGCGCTGTTGCGCCGCTGCGCCGTTGCGCCGCTGCGCCGTTGCGCCGCTGCGCTGTTGCGCCGTTGCGCGTTTGCACCGCTGCGCTGTTACGCCGTTGCGCGGCTGCGCCGCTGCACCGCTGCGCCGCTGCGCCGTTGCGCCGTTTTGTTGCGCCATTGCGCTGTTACGCTGTCGCGCCTTGGCGCATTTGCGCCATTGCGCTGTTACGCCGTTGCGCTGTTGCGCCGCTGCACTGCTGCGCTCCGCCGTTGCGCTGCCGCGACGTTCTGCTGTTGCACCACTGCGCTGTTGCGCTGCCGCGCCGTTGCGCCGTTCCGATGTTGCGATTATCCTACCATATCCTGCCGTATGCTGTCCAATCCTGTCTTATCCTACCTTCTCCCATCTTCTCCTATCGTATCCTATCTTCTTCCATGTGTCTATCTATCTATCTACATAGCTATCTATCGAGATATCATATCTGTCCTATCTTTCCTGTCTGTCCTTTTTGTCTTGTCGTATCAAGCCTATCTATGTTGTCCATATTACCTATCTGGTCTATCTGTTGTGTCTTATCTGCCTTGTCTATCATATCGATCATATCTATACTACCTACCTTATCTACCTTACCTACCAAATCTTATCTTATTATACATTATCCTGTCTTATCCTGTCTTTCCTATCGTATCCTGTATTGTCCTATCTTATCCTATATTATCCTGTAGTATCCTATCTTGTCCTATATATCCCATGTTGGCCTATCTTGCCGTGTCTTATCCTATCTTAGCCTATCGTATCCTTTGTATAAATCGAATTATCTATCTATAATACATCTATCTATACATCTATGTATCAGTCAATCCTGTCTTGCCCCATCTTATCCTATCTTACCCTATCTTACCCGACCTTATCCTATCTCATCCTACCTTACCCAAAATAATCCTATATTATCCTATCTTACCCCGTCTTCTCCTCTCTTATTCTATCTTATCCCATGTTATCCTGTCTTATCATGTCTTATTCTGCATGTCCCTATCTTAACCTATCTCATCCTATGTGCCTATCTATCAATCTACCAGCCTACCCAGCTATCCTATCTATCCTATCGTTCCTATCTATCTCACCGTATATGTAAGTCTTATCGCTCTTATCTATCATATCATATCTACCTTATATCGACATTACCTACCTTGTCTTGTCTTATCATATGTTGTCGTGTCTTACCCTATCTTAAGTTATCTTTCCTGCTTTGTCCTATCTTATCCCATCGCAGCCCTCGCATCCTATCTTACCCCATATTATCCTACCTTATCCTGCCTTACCCTATCTTGACATATCTTACCTTATCTTACCCAATCTTTTCCTATGTATCTATCAATCTATCTACCTATCTATCCTGTCTCCCCTGTATGTCCCATCTTTCCTATCTATCTCATCGCATGTAGCTTATGAATCGTTTCTATCCTACCTATCTGATCTATCTTATCTCTTACCTGCCTGATCTATCTTGTCTATCATGTCTATCCTATTTATCTTCTCTACCTTGTCTACCTTACCTACCTTTACATTATCCTGTCTTGGCCTACCTTAACCTATCTTATATTACCGTATGCTATCTTACTCTGCCTTATCCCATCTTGTCCTACCTTACCCCATGTTAGCCTATCTTGCCGTGCCTTATCCTATCTTATCCGACCGTAGCCTATCTTATCCTATGTGTCTATCTGTTTATCTATCATCTATCTATCCTATCTATCTGATTTTCTCCTAACTACCATATCTACCCTATCTTTCCTGCTTGTCCTCTTTATCTCATCGCGTCTATCTTATCTATTTGTCCTGTCTTATCTACCTGATCTACCTTACATGGCTTATCTACCTTGTCTATCATATCTATCACATATATATATAATGTGCTATCTACCTTATCTATCCTAGCTGCCTTATCTGATCTTATCACAAATTGTCCTGCCTTATCTTATCTGAGCCTATCTTATCCTGTATTTTCCCGTCGTATCCTATCTTATCATGTCTGATCCCATCTTATCCTGTCTTATCCCACGTTGGCCTAGCTTACCGTGTCCTATCCTATCTTGCCCTATGTACCTATCGATCTATCTATGTTATCTCTGAGACTGCTGGGGCTCAAAACACAAGTGATTGAAACATATTATTAACAACAAAAACGCAGCGAACACCTGCGAAAACCACGAAAACGCGAACACCGCGAAAGCCCCCAAAACCGCCAAAACGCGAAAACCGCGAAAACCACGAAAACCGCGAAAACCGCGAAAACGCGAACACCGCGAAAACGCAAAAACCGCACAAACATCGATTTTCTGGGTTCTTTGGGCTTTCTCGGTCTTCTAGGTTCCCTCTGTTTTCACGGCTTTCTCGGTTTTATAGGTTTTCTCTGTTTTCCAGTTTTCTTGGTTTTCTCGGTTTTCCGGCTTTCTCACGCAAATCCGGCTAGCTCCGTGTCGCTCAAAACGATTGCTTAGCAAGCTTGGCTGCCATCAGGTTTTCGCCTTCAAGCAAAGGAGGCAACCTACCTTTCTTTAAAGTGAGGTTTGCCCTCATAAACATGACATTTAGGCTGCTCATGCTATCTGAAGTACTCGGGAGTCAGTTAGCGATCGGGAACTCAGCTCTTAAAACGACCAAACTCGCTCTAGGAGAAACGGCCAATCGAGCGAAGCAACGGAGCAACGGAGCGGGGCAACGCAGCGCAGCAACGGAGCAACAGAGCGAGGCAGATCCGCGCAACAACGGGCCAACGGAGCAGAGCAACGGAGCAACGGAGCAGAACAGCTTTGCGGAACAGCGGGGGAACGGAGCAGAGCAACGGAGCAACGGAGCAACGGAGCAACGGAGCAACGGAGCAACGGAGCGGAGCAACGGAGCAACGGAGCGAAACAGCTTTGCGCCACCACGGGGAAACGGAGCAGAGCAACGGAGCAACAGAGCGGAGCAACGGAGCGGAGCAACGGAGCAACGGAGCGAAACAGCTTTGCGGAACAACGGGGGAACGGAGCGGAGCAACAGAGCAACGGAGCGAAACAGCTTTGCGGAACAACGGGGGAACGGAGCGGAGCAACGGAGCAACGGAGCGAAACGGAGCTTTGCGCCACCACGGGGGAACGGAGCAACGGAGCAACGGAGCAACGGAGCGGAGCAACGGAGCGGAGCAACGGAGCAACGGAGCGAAACAGCTTTGCGCCACCACGGGGGAACGGAGCGGAGCAACGGAGCAACAGAGCGGAGCAACGGAGCGGAGCAACGGAGCAACGGAGCGAAACAGCTTTGCGGCGCAACGGGGGAACGGAGCGGAGCAACGGAGCAACAGAGCGGAGCAACGGAGCGGAGCAACGGAGCAACGGAGCGAAACAGCTTTGCGGAACAACGGGGGAACGGAGCGGAGCAACGGAGCAACAGAGCGGAGCAACGGAGCGGAGCAACGGAACGGAGCGAAACAGCTTTGCGGAACAACGGGGGAACGGAGCGGAGCAACGGAGCAACGGAGCGAAACAGCTTTGCGGAACAACGGGGGAACGGAGCGGAGCAACGGAGCAACGGAGCGAAACAGCTTTGCGGAACAACGGGGGAACGGAGCGGAGCAACGGAGCAACGGAGCGAAACAGCTTTGCGCCACCACGGGGAACGGAGCGGAGCAACGGAGCAACGGAGCGGAGCAACGGAGCGGAGCAACGGAGCAACGGAGCGAAACAGCTTTGCGCCACCACGGGGAACGGAGCGGAGCAACGGCAACAGAGCGAGACAACGGAGCAACGGAGCACAGCTTTGCGGAGCGGGGGAACGGAGCGGAGCAACGGAGCAACAGAGCGGAGCAACGGAGCGGAGCAACGGAGCAACGGAGCGAAACAGCTTTGCGGAACAACGGGGGAACGGAGCGGAGCAACGGAGCAACAGAGCGGAGCAACGGAGCGGAGCAACGGAGCAACGGAGCGAAACAGCTTTGCGGAACAACGAGCGGAGCAACGGAGCTTGCGGAACAACGGGGGAAGCGGAGCGGAGCAACGGAGGAGCGGAGCAACGGAGCAACGGAGCGAAACAGCTTTGCGGAACAACGGGGGAACGGAGCGGAGCAACGGAGCAACGGAGCGAAACAGCTTTGCGGAACAACGGGGGAACGGAGCGGAGCAACGGAGCAACAGAGAGCAACGGAGCGGAGCAACGGAACGGAGCGAAACAGCTTTGCGGAACAACGGGGGAACGGAGCGGAGCAACGGAGCAACGGAGCGAAACAGCTTTGCGGAACAACAGGGGAACGGAGCGGAGCAACGGAGCAACGGAGCGGAGCAACGGAGCGGAGCAACGGGGGAACGGAGCGAAACAGCTTTGCGGAACAACGGGGGAACGGAGCGGAGCAACGGAGCAACAGAGCGGAGCAACGGAGCGGAGCAACGGGGGAACGGAGCGAAACAGCTTTGCGGAACAACGGGGGAACGGAGCGGAGCAACGGAGCAACGGAGCGAAACAGCTTTGCGGAACAACAGGGGAAGCGGAGCAACGGAGCAACGGAGCGAAGCGGAGCGAAAGGTTTGCAGGAGCGGAGCAACGGAGCAACGGAGCGAAACAGCTTTGCGGAACAACAGGGGAACGGAGCGGAGCAACGGAGCAACGGAGCGAAGCAGGTTTGCACGACACGCTTTGCCAACGCTCTGCAAAAAAAAACTCCCTGCCATGTCAACAAATGAAGGCAGCGGGGGGGGAGGGGTATTCATCAGCGGCCAACTTCAGGTCCGGAAGCCTCACGCTTAGCCCACACTGGACATGTGAGGAAACATCGCCAAAAACAAACGGTCAAGCTGGCTCTTCCTGAGAAACACCAAGCGGGTCAATGCATGGGCCTCCAACAACAGTCTTCCCACAACAGCAACACCCCAGAGTTGGTTGTTCGAGTGCTTGGTCGTTCGAGTGCAGAAGCGGAGCAAACAAAAATAATAGCAGTTAAGAGGGGATTTCCCACGAAACCACAATAACAAACATGTAAAATGTTTCCCAACAACAACCATGGTGCAGGGTTCGCTTTTGCATGGGACTCCCCCTATCGAATCGGAACGTTTTGAAGCAGCGAAGACCGTCAAACCTCTGCGTCGCCGCTGAGGTTCCAGCGCCGGTGATGCATTCGAAGGTCTGCATTCGCATGCATGCGAATGCCCGAGAATTTTTTCCGTGAATCTGCGAGAACAGCCCAGTTCCATTCCAAGTCCATGTTGTTGTCCCTTGCGACTCAGGTACCCTCAAACAGAGCGAAACCGAAGCCTGCCCCCATGGCCACCTTTTCGTAAGGCGACGGAAAGGTCTGATCGGGGAACCTAGATTGGAGTAAGGCATCGCCAGAAAAAGCAGCGCTTCTCAAATTACCCCCTCCTAACCAGACTACCAGCCCCAACACGCACAAAGCGGACAGCTGCGGAAGAAACGGATAGCCCAATGAGTGAATCAACGCCTGAGGGGTCTTCCCACAGCATACTCGATCCAACCTTGCAGGCTTAGGCGTTTGCAGCCTACTACCAAAAAAAAAACGAAAAACATGGCAGCAAAAGTGAAGAAACAAATCAAGAACCCACAGCTTATTGAGTGTCCGGCCTGAGCTGATCAAACCTTCTGGCCCAACCCCATCCCAAAAACAACATTCAAAGGCTGTTTTTGCTTGGGATTGGTGGTGTGGAGGTGCTTCCGGGGTGGTTTCTCACCCGCAAGAAAAAGAGGTTCAAACCCGAATCCAAAGCACCAAACCAAAGCACCAAATAAGGCTTGCCTGAAATAGAACTTCGGAGACCCCTGCCCCTTTTTTGATAGGCAGGGTTCCGGTAGGATACACCTTAAAGGATACCTGCTTTGCAGCGGACATTTTGCCAACTGTGACCTTCAGAACACGGACTCCCGGGAGTGGTGAGTCGAAGACACCCAGGGGTTGAAGTTGGGGAAATGACTCATGAGCTTTGCTGCCAAGCGGTGCATTCTTTCCAAACGCCCAGAACAGTGAACCACGCGTGGATAGAAAGTCTGGAAGACATAAAACTCGTCATCCCCTTTTGGCGGCGCCTTTTGGGACGGCGTTTTCTATGGTTGCCAAACTCCGAAAACCAAAGGGTCATTTCAGGTCAGTGGCTGAGTTTAGCATATCCAGCTTCAGTTGTTTCAAATAGAACCCACTCGAGTTCTCGCCATCGCGTCTGACTGCCCATGTCGACTGGGCTTGGGCTTTGCACTGTCGACCGATAAATATAAATATAAGCCCATGGAATTGAGGGGAATTTGGGAATTTCTGAACCCCCCTCCTCCCCCCCCGGCCAGCAAAGGCCTAGGGTCGACATTGCCCCTTACGGGCGGAGTGATTCGATGCCCAAAATGGACCTTGAGCCTCCCGAGCCTGGATGACGTTGGCCGTAGGTCCGCCCACCACGAGCGCTGCAACCTGGGAAGCAAACCCATGGCTTGGGTCGAGCCTAGGGATGGCCTACACCTCGCCCTGTCGCTTCCAGTGACAGCCAACTGAATTGGGTGTTGGATCCCCGGGGGAAAAACAACTTGGTTCCTTGAAGGATACATCTAAAACCCACTTGGTTTACCAAGATTTGTTTAAATCAGCTGGTCAAGGTGACCCTTCGACTGGCCCACATGTAACCCAAAGCTCCTCCAACCTGGCCGCGCCTTGGTGGTGAAGTCCGCATCGTTTGCGCAGCCGTTCAAATTCGCTGAGCACCAGCACACCTTCCGTTTCGCCGTTGCTCGTGGTGGAACCCGGAAACGCGCTGTGAACCAGTGGGTCTGTGTCCTAAATTGGACAGAAATACACGCCCTGGCAAAAAGCTAGATGTGTCTGGTTGAAAAGCAAGAAGGAAAACGAACGTTACAAAGAACAGCGAAGTTTGGAACTACTACTAATTCCGGAATATCTCCTTTTGGGAGAAACAGGGCTACTCATCAAATGGCAGTGTAGACGTTTCCTAAGGGAAACACAAGGTAACCAACCGATCTTCGACTCTCTTGGGTTCCTGCATGGACAACAATCTGCAATGAGTCTTGTGAAACTCGTGCGACTTGGCCGCAGTCCTGGGATTTGCTAGTCTGACAGCCAATTTCCATGGCTGTCTTCAAAGTTTACTGGGAAGCCCCTTCCGCACACAAACGTTGGCTGCACCAGAGTCCCCCGAGATAACTGCCAAGTTTGGGCGATCCTCTTGCCACGAGATCGGGTAAGGCATAGCCCCGAAGCAGATCTGTCTTCGCTGCATCTGCGGCATGTAGCGGAAGCACGTGGAAAGCTCGTAGCATGAGCAGGGAGGGATCCCTTTCACCCCCCACGCGAGGAAACTCCATCCGCGGCAACTGAAAGGTGAGGATTCAACCGAAGGGGCGCAGGCAAAGGCCCAGGCCTTTGCAGACCTGGGGGTAACCAACGAGCCCTGCCGACCTCGGCCTTCCGACGGGCCTGGTAGATGCCTGGAACCATCACCCCTACGTCCAGCCATCTCCTGAGCAACTAATCCGGCTGTGGGTCAAAAATGGGTTCCCAAAATGGCTTGCCCTGGTAAATGGAAACACCGACTAAAACCACGTAACCCTAGCTCTTTAATTTGAGCCACACCCATCCAGACTCTGAGACACTGAATGCGTGTCCGTCACTACGTCGCCCCAAGCACCAAGCCGAATCAAGGAATCTCTGACGAAAATTCATAACAGAACTCGTTGCACTCCCAACCTCAGCTTTGGCCGCCTTCCGCCCCCAAAAAGGTCTTGATTATGTTCCAGGAGTAGTGAACCTTGAAATGACACAGAAAACATCCAAGCAAAAACCTCAGCTCTAAGTGCCGGGCCATGCTTCGACTCCCACGCCCGTTCCCAGGCTTGGGACCCAAGAGGCAAGTCTCCGATTGGAACCCATGCCCAAACTTGGCCACCCCAGTGCAAGTTCTTGAAGTTGGTGGAAAAGTATCATATATATATATATATAATTATATATATATATATATTATTATCAATCTAGCCCCAAAAAGTGAAAAGTTGAAAGATCCAACTCGAATTCAAGCAAGTTGTGCACCAAAAGGTCCGACATTCAGTGAATCGGCTCGCGCATGAGTCATGGAAGACACGGATCCACCGAGTTCGCACTGGCTGAGTCTATTTGGAGGAGGGGGGTCTGAACACATCACGAAAAAGCCTTCCATGTGTTGGTTTCCTTTGAACAAGTTTGGCTCTCATTATTTGACCATCTCCACGTTTATCCTCGCAACATTGACTGACGTTTCGGCCGAGGTTCTCTTGCGTTTCGCCCCCGTCGTTGCGCTGACCCGACGGGTCCGCATAGGGCGTGTCCGTGGCAACCTAGACCGCAAAGACCCCCTCTGAAAGGCTTGGCTTTCGCCCGAGGCACAAACAACAAAAGGTCAAGCAAGGCAAAGGCAGACCAAAAAATCACAGCTATGAACTCTCCTTGGAATAAACATGTTGGGCCAAACAGCGCCGTTGGAACACACAGTCCAGTCGGACAGGGGACCCCGAAAAACGGGCCAAAAAGCGAGCCGGAGGTGTGACCCTCCAGCCCCTGGAAGGCCGTTCCCGTTTGGGGCCTTTGGGTGGAAACCCCATGCGAGCCAGTGGAATTTCCATGCGAGCCAGTCTGGCTGGTTTCAATCAACGGACCCCTTCTCACACAGCAGAATCATGAGCACAACATTTCGGCAAACATTTGAAAGGTTCACATTAAAGACAATGATCTTGCACCAATTGCAGCGAATCAAGAATGCCAAGCCACCTGCGTCATGGTGAGCTCGTTACATCTATGTGAGATTGCCATAAGTGCCTTTATTTGGGTGGCTGGCCTATGGAATGGGTATGGTTCAAACAACCCTCCCCATGGTTGGAATTGCAGTTTCTCTGCATCCCGCGAGTTGTTCGAGTTTTCTGCGGCGCTGCAAAGATAGAACTGAATCTTTTCTTGGGAGAAAGTTGTCAGATTCGAAGCCCTTCATCAGGTGGATATTGATTTGGAGGGACCTGCCTCAGCCCCAAATATGTGTGCTGTGCCCCAAAGGCTAGAGGTCCTCATTTGGTGTTTATGAATCCTAGGGTTTCAACAGCCTCAGCTTTCGGATGTATCCGTGTGAGTTTTCATGTGGGCATGGGTGTCAGGTTCTTGATTGAGGTCACTCGTGGGGTCTTTGTTTTGGGGGGAGGCGTCCCCGATTTTGAGACAAACCCGTACGGCGGCAGAGAAAAAACCAGCACCAAGCCCGTGCTGCGACATCCGAAACCCAGCTGAGGGCAGTGGCTGCAGGGTGCATCACCTTCGAGTGAGTTGGATCCTGAGATGGGCCCGTGGATGTTTGGGGGGCACTCCAAACGCACAATTGCCCCCTAAGGCTTACAGCTGAAAGATGACGGCATGTCTAAACCGGAGTCCAGTTCGCATTGGTCAACCCTTCAAATTTGATAATCTTCGTTTTTGTGGGGTGTTGCTCATAAAATAAAAAGTGGGACGTGCAAATGGATACCTCCAAACAATCGCCTCTCTCATTTCATGCTTAAAAGGGAGAAGGACTGCATCCCAGCTTTCGGCGGAAAGCTGAATTCTGCCGCGTGTTCCCTCCCAAACGCGTCTCCCTCAACAATGGGCTTCCGTTTCAGTTTTCAAGTCATGTAGAACCTGAGCTTGCCTCGGGGGCCTTGGAGTGGTATACAAGTCATGTAGAACGTACAAGACATGGCGGTCATGGTTCTAGCAAATCAGTCAGCAAGTAATTAAAGCGATGTTTAACAAATAAGTAGGAACATCTAAAACATATAATGCATTGATCAAACCCAATGCTACTGGGTCTATTAAAATAAGATCTTCAAATTTACCCTCGAAATATTGGGTACAGGGAAACCAACCACAAACCCGAAGCTCATGTTGAGAACTCCTCAGAATGCCACCACTTAAAAAGGCCAGTGCAACAATACTGGCATACGTGGTCACGAGGACCAATAGACCAGTGTCTTGGGAGCGTTAATTGTGGACTAGGGTTAAACCACACCCTTGTGTATACGTGTTTACCAACCTAGTGTTTAGATAAGCGGGCCTGGTTGGTTGGTTGGTCGGTTGGTTGGTCGGTTGGTTGGTCGGTTGGTTGGTCGGTTGGTTGGTCGGTTGGTTACCTCAGGTCCCTTGCCATTGCCCTACCTCAGGTCCTGGCAAAGCAGTCGACGGAGGCATCGACGATGCGAATCCGATCCCCGCTGCTGAGCCTGAGAAGCGATCGGATCTCTCACGGCCGGAAAGCATTGGCCAAACGAGTCCAAACACTTTATGTGTCTGCCATTGTTGAAGTTCGGCCCACCCAAAAACGGTGGGCTTCCTTTCCTTTGGGTTTCCCTTTAAAACCCACCCAAAACCCGGGGTTCCATGAAGTTCCTTTTAAAAAAAGACACCCATCTCCCATGTGTGCAACCCACCCAACATGGTCTTCCATCAAAAATTGCCTGCGCCAAGCTCCCGCCAGGTGAACGCGTTCGCGGCGAGTTGGGGCACCGGGCCCAGTGCCCTGGATGATGAGGCGATCCGACTTCCCCGCGCGCCAGGTCAAAGCGCCCTCATTCCTCCCGCTCGTCGGCTCCCGCGGGCCGCGGGCCGCGGAGGGCGTGGCTAAGTTTGTTTGGGGCGCTGGCGTGGGCTTTTTGGGGATGGCCGGCGCTTTTTTGGAGCCTTCGAGGGTGGTTGCGCTGGGTTGTTGGGTTGTTGGGCTGTTGAGCTGAGTTGTTTGACCTCAACGGTGCCTTCAAGGGAAACCACAGGGTTCACCACAACATCTTCTAAGGCACATCCGAAGGCCGAGGTTGGGGTTGCGAGGTTGCAGGATCTGCCTTTCTGCGTGGAAGGCCTTCCAAATGACGAACTCTCAAAGGGGAAGGTTCCTTGACAATGGGAACCCGAAGTAGAACCCCTGGTTGACTAATAGCGAGTGTCCCTCTTTCGCGGTTGGATTCATCACTATTGGAGGGGAACACCCGGCACTAATAGGGATCAACATTACTACAGAATTGGGAACAAGCCCCCTTATTCTGAGGCTTACCATTTGCAAGCCCACATGGGATTGCCATTTGTCAGGAAATCGGGCAGATGGCTCTTTTTTGAGGTTCTGATGCAAGTTGACATTGCCCAACCACAGTGGATAGAAATGGGTCAAACCCAGGGTTCTGAAAGCTTTTTGTGGGGACACAGGCCTGAATATTTCGCCTGATGCCTAGGTGGTTTAGACCCATGCTTGAGAAGCACTCCGTGTAAGGTCCAGCTACTCACTGTTAGGGCGGATTAAAGGTCTTCCCCAACAGTTCCAAGTCTTGCAGCCCTACTAGGGGCAAGGTAAGCAACGAGCCATGTTCCCCAAAATATTTTCCCGTCACACAGGTAGAAACGTTGGCGGCAAAAGAACACCTACGGGATCCCTTTTCCCTCGCGATCCCCAACAACGGTCTTTCATGATCTTCCCATGTTCAAAACTGAAACCCCGACAAGTTCTGTCCAAAAAGCAGGCCTTGGGGGCGGGGGTGCCGTGCTGGCAAGTACCAACTTTCTAGCGTGGCAGTTTGGTCATCGTTCTTCTTTTCGCGGAGCAATTTGGAATCCTTTGACCATGTCGGCCCTTCGATCAGTCGCCCACTTTTTGGAAAACAAAAAGGAATGGGGCGCCGCAGGCTTAAATCTGCTCACTTCCTCATCTGACTGGGGTTTACAAAAGACTCTCCTCCAAATCCTGAGTTGCAATTAAAGCTTAAAACTCTTAGGCATCTTTTCTATTGTCGTCTTTCCAGGGTTAGGTTAAATCTGGAATCGTAGGATGGCCCAACTGTCGGTTGCCAAATACGCTTCCAAGGGTTCCCAAATGATTGAATGGCTCAGGGCTCCGTCTAGGATACATCGAACCCCAACTTAAGTACAAAGGAGATCCTCTGAATCAGCTGAGAATGGATATTTGTTTGACTCAGGGTAAAATGTCCCGCTCTCGATCCGATTCGGGACAAAGGCTGAAGCTCACCGCGTCCTGGGCCCGTTCACCGTGACGACGCCCTTGTCCTGAGCCCATGGGATCCGGCAGACTTGAGATATCGACCCTACTAGGTCCAGGTCAATTTCCGATACTCTCCTGTCCACCAGGAGCCTGAAGACTATTCTCCTTTGGGAATGCAGGAGGCAATGTCTTGTGCACTTTGGGGCGAAACATTTCTGCGTGAATCTTGGGATAGAACCCTTCAGCGTCTTTCCAGGGATCACCCAAAGTCAAAGTTGAACCCCTAGGAAGATGCCAGGGGGCGGAAGTTTGGAGGGGAGATGCCAGAAGCGTGACATCCAAGTTGCAGAAGGCGTGAGTCGGAAATCAAAGGAAAGCCACGGCACAGCCACAAGCAAACCACCCGACACTTGCACTACAAGCCCATGGCAACACGACACTATGCTTGATGCTTTCCCCCAGGGAAGTATGACTTTCTGTGACCGAAACGCGTGTGGTGTTGGAAACCCCTTCAAAACAGTCCCGCATCAGAACTCTGAAAGGAAGAATCGCCCAGGCCACGAGCCTCATGGAACTTCATGGGTGACCTTGTCTAGGTCCTCCAGTAGAGAGGTTACAATAAGGGTACCCGTTTTCTGTAGTCTATTTTACATAGTAGGGGAACCCTCCCCCAAAAAGGAAAAGGGCACTAATGGGGGACCTAGTTGTTTTAGCCCCGATGAAAAAAATAAAAACAAAAAGTGGACCCTGCGAACTGCTGGCCGAGCATCTAGTCCGCCCAGCCAGAACCGCGCCGGGGTGTTGCAGGGCGCCGCCGTCATGGTCCTCAGTCCACCGGCCGCACACCGAGGCCCCAAATCACCCACACAAACGCCTTGGCACATCACGCCTGGGGTGCTCCAAACATAAGATTCTCAGCAACTGTTAGCCATATTGCGCCAAAGCCAAAATATGAAATGCTGAGGATACCCCGGAAAAGGGTAATTTGACCTGTTGAGTTCACTGGCACATAAGAAGTGTGCATTTTTTGCAGGGTGAGCATTCTGAGAGGGAAAGGGGTTGTGACAACAGAGGGAGAGAGGGTTCCAGCAAATCACAGCCAACGTGAACATCAAGGGCATCACCGCTTTTGAACAAGTTCCTTGCCCTCCCCCTCCCACCCGAAAAAGCGCTTGATTTCCATGCCGTTTAAAGGAGCCCTTCCGGACCCGGGACGCTGGGGAGAGCCAACTCGGCTCGAAAGGATCCCCACCTCGGACGGATTTCCTTTGTTCACTTAAGGCTGTTGGCAGTCGAAACTTGTTGTTTACTCCCGGATCCTACCGACTATAGCCCTTCGCAATTTTCCTTGTGCGGAGAATTTGGACAAAGAAACTCCACTGGAAAACTTGGCCAAAGGAATCCCACACCTGCAACCAGCTCTCACTGGCTGGGTTGAAGGGAAAGTGAAGAAAACAAAAGGCAAAGGTTGAAAAGACTGTCAATCGGGCAAGACGCAAATTCCTGCTACTCATAACTTCCCTCTAAGACCAAGGGAAAATATTCATACAACAACAGACAAAGGCGAGCGTCGGGAGACTAAAGGGTTAAGGGCCTTGAAAAAAAACACAGCGGCGCCAGGCCATGCAAGGAGACCATCTTCTGGTCCTAGCAAGTACGTCCAGACCCAATTGAAAATGAGTATCCCATTACCTCCTGGGAAACTAACCCAAGCCTTCTCCACACCGTTGCAAGCAAAGTAGTCTAAGGGCAATACCACTGAACACATTGCTTGGCTGCTGGCGTGGACGTGGTGGTGGTGTCATTGGACCCTGCGGCAGCTCGGGTCACTTGAGCCCAGGGTTTGTTACATTGAACCCTGCGACAAAACCCGTGTCCTGAGCCCGGTGATTTCGAGGTTAGGGGCTAGAAGTACCATCGTTTAGGGCAACCCTGACAAAAGAAGTAAAAACGGAAGAACAAAAGAGGTGAATGGTTCAGTTTGGGGTCTGGTCGATGAGTCTGTGGGGAAATTTAGATGACAAGGGCAGCCTTGCTCCATCCTCGGCTAAGGGGCCTAGTCCACAAAAACGAGTGAGACTTTTGTTTAAATCACAATCCAAAGGGTAATTTCGAGGGTGTCACTTAATTTAAGGGACCCAGGAAGCAACAAGATTGCTCCACTTGCCCCCAAGCGAATCACCTGACATGACCTTTTTGGCTTGCCTGCGCTTGGTCAAGGTTCAAAATGGTTGACTCACCTATTGCGATCAGGTCCTTTTGGCAAGCACGTAAATTTGAGAATTTTATCGACCTGGTATTGCCAAGCATGTTCTGCCCCGAAGCTGGCTGACAAAGAATGTTTCGCGCAGGAATGGTTGGCACAGGGCTCTTCATCCATTGTCCGTCCCTTCCAATCCAGCTGGCTGAGCTAAAAGACACCGCATCATCCAGGGGTGTTTCCTACGGGATGCTTGGATTATCATGACTATCCCCACCATTTCTTAGTCCATGCCAACTTGCCTCCTTGAAAATAATCCATCCGGCAGCTAAATCGCCATTCCTCCAAAATCATCAGGGGACAGCCCAAAAAGGAAGACATATTTGAGCCACGCCCTTGACATCTTGATCCCACAGGCGAACTTATTTGGACCCTGCCCCGGAAATGTTGATCCAAAGCAAGCAAACAAAAAATGGGACCCCCCCCCACCATGCCTGACCCGTAAGGAGATGAAATCTCGGAAAATAATTTTCTTTGCGAAACCCCATGCCAACTGGGTTCAACCTGGAGGACAACCAACGAAGTTGTGAACACTGGAGCCATGTCCCTTGGAATGCGACAAAAAATGAAATGAAACAACTCCGAAGTGGAGACTTCCGCACTTAACTCCCTGAGAATCATGCACCCCTTTGGCACACATTATGATTGTCCTCCTCCCTGAAATCACATTTTGCAGGTGTTGGTCCACAGTAAAGGTCCTTTCCGGAAGCTCAGCGGAACATGTGTGAAAGGTTGGATTTGGAGCATGCTTAGGGACACTTCCTCACACTTCCTCCATCTTCCTCCCCTATCCCCTGTACCATGGATTGACGGGGTACGTCCAGGAAAAGTGTAGGAAGACCTCAATAAGGCCTTGATAAGCCGGAGCCCTTCCCATAGGACATGCAACCCAACAACCCGTCATAGCGGAGTCTCCTTCTGAGAACCCCCTTAGTGGGTGCCATCGATATATATATATATATGTATATATATATATATCTATAAATATATATATATATATATATATATACATGCCTACGGGGTATACTACGCTACTCGAGCTTTGCGCCTGCACTTGGTGGCACGGGCCGGGACGTTGCGCTGGCGTCGCAAATGCAAATGGTGTAGGTGCCAGCCTGACAATGCAAAGTTGTTCTCAAAATAATCCTCAGGAAGGTCCGGAAAGAACAGAAAAATAGGAGGTGCCAGCTGGTATAGATTTGTTCACTTGCAAGCAAAAAACCTGGACATCGCGGGATCACCTGCTGTGAACGCTCGACAAGCCAGCTTTGGGTACATGCGATTGACGAGCCACAAGACCAAGATGGGGGAAGGCATTTCATTTAATTTCCGGGGTTGAAGCTCCCAACTCCCAAGCTTGAAAATACTCCTCAAATTGTCCAACCTCCCAACTCCCAAGCTCGAAAATACTCGTCAAATTGTCCAAGATGGAAGCAGCCGAAAAGAGGCCTGATGCCATAAGGAAAGTTTCCTCTTTGCGTTTTTAGTGAACGCCGGTTTGGACCCTACGCAAGACTGCTAGCTAGCTAGCTAGCTAGCTAGCTAGCTAGCTAGCTAGCAGGGACATGAAGGCCCGGAAGCAAACAAATTGTGGTAAAATTCTGGCAATGTTCTTTGGCTGCTCTTGGCCCCGAATCCGAGTGAGCCGCCAGAAGGTTGCACGAAAGCAACAGTGAGACAGGATCGCTCAGGGCAATAGCAGGTTTGCAGGCTCGCACCGGCCCTCTACAACTCCTATCAACCTTGCAGGACATGGTTGATCCATGGTAAACATACTGACAGGTGCCTCTGCGGAACAAGTTGCTTTCGCCAACGACTACGCGCGGCTGGCGCACAACCAGCTTACACGCTGAGTTGTTTGATGCCAGGATCACGCAAGGCTTACCCGAGCCGTGCCTAGCAATGTTTTCCATGCCGCCACACCGCTGACTTACGCGAGGCCCTTCGAGCGCGAACGCAGTGCTCAAAGTGCGACTCAACACGGAAGTAGTACACGAATTGCACTTTGGCAGCTCCAGCTCGCAAATCTCAACTTTGCAGTGCAACCTGTGTATGCAAAGTACACCATGGCAAAGTCGCAGGGTCAAAGTTGGAAGCCAAAGCTTACGCGCGGCTTCCGCAAAACTTGCGTGAAAGTCATGCCAAGAAAGGTTACGCGCAGCTTACGCAAGGAAACTCGCCACAACATGAGTACGCGCGCATACAGGGTAGCTCAGTCCTTGCAGGACATCAAAAAAGTCTTAAAATATTCATGAAAGAAGGACCAACAGGGAGTAGAACAGGCGGAATTCATAAAACAGGAAACGTATCCAACTCGTTTTCCGCACTAACCAAGCAACAGAACTCTCCAGTTTGGGGCCTGGGGCGCTGCTCAAATTCCGCAACTCTTTGGCATTGCTACATGTTTAGCCTTCCAACCTAAATGGACAGAACCCAAAACATACATGCCGAGAGCAGTGAAGGCAAGGGAAATAGAATTCCCCATGACTCCAGACTCTAAAATCGAAATTGGGCTCCCTATTTGGTGACGTGGCACCGCCAATTGGTCACCCAAATTCCTTCTCTTTCCTCCACATCCCGGCTCGAAGCCCGAAGACGCCTGGTACACCTGGACGCCGCTGCACACTAATTTGGTCGGGGCCTGGGTGCATCCAATGCAGGACTGGCCAGATTCATTCCTACATATTCCTACTCACCTCCTGATTTGTGGATTGGCCAAGGACAAGGCCAAACATTCCGTGACCCAGGGCATCACAGCACGGAACCTGCAGGGTCCTCCAAAGATGGATGCCCCCGAGAGGGTCACCTATCTACAGTGTGGCGCCCCGTGTCAAGCAGTTTTTCCAGGAGTTGAGCTCGCAAAATTCGGGGGAGTAACACTACCCAAATTGCCCGTCACGCTCTCATCAAATTGTGTCCATTCCGTCGATTTGGTCAATCCTGAATTTGCTTTTTTGTTTGGCTACCACAGCTAGCCGAAGATGGTCATTGAGCGAATGTCCAAGCCAAAGTCTTTCCGCCGCACCAATCACCACTCCCATCGAAAGTCGAGGAAAAGGCAATCAAAGCACTTTTACAAAAGCAACTTTTGTGACGTGTGTGATAAACTATGAGCACCACCCCAGGCCAGCATGGCTTTCCTTTGGTTTCACCCAAAAGTGCCAAGATCCACGCTTTCCCAATCCCATCGCACATCAAGTCGTAGTACTCCGCCGCGCTGGAGTACTTGCCTGCGGGCAAAACCAAAGAGAAGCGTTTGAACCTGCGCTCCTGGAAAGGATTGCGCAACAGATTGCATGGACTTATAGACCATGGGTTTGGGCGGTTCGTGCAAACCCTCCAGGAGCTGGCTCAAAGCTGGCTGATGCGCTTGCTTTCCTATAAAGGTGTCTCCCCGCCTTTGGGAGGAGTCTGCTTTCCTTTCAGTTGTGTTCAAAGCCGGTAGCTTCAAGAAAGCCAAGCCCGGGAATGTTCCGGGAAACCTAAAACAAACGGCATATCATGCTTCCCGGGGTACGGCTTTGCAGCTCAAAGGTCCGGAGTTCCGGGTGCAAATTTAGGACCAAGAGATCTCGGCGAACACAGCTGCTACGAAACCAACAGGGGGAAACGCGATTCTCCTGGCAGTGGCCATGGGGAAAACAGGCTTGTTTGGCTGGGATTTGTCCAAGGGTATTTGGTGGTGTCCAGGGCTTCCGTCATTTCTATGCGCTCAAGCGTTAACATCCGAAGGAGCCTCTGGGTCAGAGTCTTGGTGGTGGAAACTTTCATTCAACTTAGTAGAGTGTGAGAAGCCGAAGAAATGCTAGTCTTGAATTCTGCGAAATCCCTTCAGATCAGAATCCCTTCCAAAACCAAGACAACCTACGCTAGATTCACAAATGAACCGAACTCTCAGCCCAGAATCAATTCCAGAAAGACCTTCATGGACTCCATCGCCCGTTTCATGGTTTTTTCTCCCCTAGTTGCGTGGAAACTTGTCTAAACTGTTTTTTTGGGAGCAGCATTCAAGAGGAATCCAAAATAGCAATGGCTGGAAAGCACTTCATTTCATGTCAGTTCCCTCATCAAATTGCATGGTGTGTCTCCAAAGGCTTACCCTCATCGCAGTTGATCCTCACACGCTAGCGAGCGTTCCTGACCATCCCCCCATTGGTCACCTGGTAAATGGAATGAAATCCATCTAAACCAGTGGAACCCATCGATTTCTAACCAAGACACTTATGGCTCGCACTCAACTCATTGGACAGGTGAAAATCTCTGAACCTGAAACACCCACAGTGCCTGTGTTTTGGGAACGAGAAAAAACAGCTTGAACTACCGATTTCTGCTCGACCCCCCAAAAAAACGCTCGCCCCCCGAAAAAACGCTCGATCAAATCCCCTTCTTCCATCCGGAGGAAGGCGGGCAATTATTGCGTTTAGAACAAAATACTCTCGTTTGCGGATATTTGCGCTCGTTTTGCACTTCGATTTCTGCTCGCTCCTTTCGGCGACCGATCATCTTGGAGGACGGTCAGCCCGGTTTTGGGAAAACGCTCGAAGCAGAAAAAGCGTACCATATTTTGGTGACGACCCTTGGTTTTGCAACACGTCTGGGCTAAGGGCAGAAATTGAGACAACGAAGATTCGGCGCTCCAGGAAGTCTTGCAAAAGCCTTCCACCCGTTTTTTCAGCTCTTAAAAGAACAAGTCACAAAACAACACAGGCAGGCAGTAACTGGTTGCAACTGTGTCAAGTCTTGTTGGCCCTGCTCGTTCACTTCCGCACCCAACTCGCTTCGTTTGCTGCGCTCGCTTCGGAGTTCGGAGTTCGGCTCGCCTCTGGGTGACACGACGGTATCCCCGCAGGAGGCATCCGAAGGAATCAATAAGATCTTGTCCTGAGCGTGCGGTGTCTTGCCACCTGCGAGCAAACATTGGATTTTGTCCAAACTGTCTTGTTGATAATTACTTCTACGAAGGAACAGATTGAGAAAGTTGCCATTGCAAAGCGATTTTTTCAATTTGGACAAATGTTGCCATGGCTGACTCATTTCCTGGGTGAATTGGCAACAAAGACCACACTTCGTGTTTGCCGCTACCATGAATGGTCATCCTGAAACATGAACGTCCAAGAACTATGCAGTCAAAACAGCATTTCATCACGGTCTAGTTGGCAGAGAACAAATCCAAGGGGCTTGGTTCAAAACAAGCGCTATTTGAACCTCCGCTGGGCATCCAAATGCCAAGGGGGCCAAAGGCTGATTAAAACGAGGGCCGATGGCTGATTCAACAAATGTTGCCTCAACCTGTTGGGAAAGCCATGAACTTGTCAGCACCTCCTTCAATGTCCTTCAAACATGGGGAATATTCTCCGACAATTCCGGGAAAACCCATGAATACCTCATGCGGAAAGGGTAGAGGCGCCGGGTGGTCCTTCCAACGGTTTCCTCAAAGTTGACAAGGTTGGAGTTAGCCGACTTCGAGGAACTGCTGCAATGAACCTAGCTCAATATTGCTTCGTCTATGCGGGTATTGCCCCCACGGAAAGTTTAGCGTTTCTGAGGGGGAATGTAAAGGTTCAACCCAAAAGCCAAGTAATGCGACTACGATGCGTCCTATGTCCTATTAGGCACCATCTGTGCCTTTTCAAAGCCTGATTGAAGGGTTGGGGGCATAGGAATGTGATTTGTGCCATGCGTATCATATCACTGGAACAAGAGTCTTTGAATAGTGCTACTGTGCAGCCGGCCCTCGGCAAAGGCGATCACCTTTCGTAGGTTTAACAAAAAAAATCCAAAAGGGCTGAGGGGCGATTCGGTCATACCGAAGACCAAGCATGAACCTGAAAAACAAGGAACTCGTTGTCTGGGATCCTTGAAGCTTGTTTGCTCGCACGCAAGCTCCAAAATGAAGAAGAAAAAAAACAGCGCGTGCGCCCGAAGGACCTGGAACATCACAGCCTGTCACATGTTAAAACAACTATTTGAACATCGCCGAAATGAACAAGCAAAGGTCAGCTTTCTTCCGGCCTTTACCAAGGCCAGGCTCCGGTTCAACAATGCCCAACCATCCCCTGACTCTGAATCAGGGAACCCCTGACATGTCAGGGAAACTATGGGAGTATAGCAAGGGGCCCCCTGAAAATTCCTTGTGCCCCAGGCACTTGTCGCATTTCAAGGAGCCCCGTGGGAGCATCTCCCACCGAACTCTTCGCGCCCAGCTGCGTTGATGACATCGAAATTTGTCCCCTGCACCTCGACGCTGAATTCCCAACCTGCGGTTCTTGTCGGCCAAAACGAAGCGTCAAGGTCACTGGGTTCGGCTTTCCAAGTGGTTTGGACCCAAGTGGTTCGGAGTTTAGGGGGTTAGCTTCCCAACCCTCAAGGACCAGAAGGTCAAATGTCTAGTCACCTGGAAAAACAGGACGTCTGGACAGAGACGGCATCCATCTTGCTGCTTCCTCACGGTTGTTGTTCTTTCACAGGAGTCAGCTCAACAACGAGTCGTCAAGCGCAACTGGGTCGCTGCCATTCCCTGTTGCTCTGATATATGGTCAGCAATTCCCCGGGCCTGAATAAAGGGATCCCCAGGTAAGGGACCATCATGGCTATACCTGGGGTGAGGGGATCCCATATTTGGCTTGCAAGAGACAACCCAAAAAGTGAAGGAAACAAACAAAAAAAACCTTCTGTGTTGAGTCCGGCAATGCTCAGCCTTGCTACGGCTTTTGGAGAGATTTTCCAGGCCACCCAGCCCCTTTTCTCTAATTTTAAAAGTGAGCGGATGGTTTTGTCACGTGCCTAGGAGCAATGGAAGCTGTCAGGATCTTCCCAAGTCCGATCCATTTCCATTGGAAAGAGCCTAGTACAGTTCTGGGAAAGTCACTCAACACCAATCCTAGAAGTTGCCTCGGCAGATTCCAGATTTATCCTGTGGACATCTGTGGACCAAAGGTCAGTCCCCCAGTCTTTTCCCGCCTTCTGTTGAGAAAGGTTGTTGGCCATGCTCTCACCCAACATCCTATAAACAAAGGGGGAGAATGCGGGAAGAACAAAACAACAGCCTGGAGTCATGACCCTTTAAACATGGGGTCATTACCCCAAAGAATGGGACCATGGACCCATTTTTACAGGGTCATGGAGACAGGAGGACAAGAAGGGGGAGAATGAGGTCCAGTCCAACGTCGCCTGGTCTGATTTGATATGCAGAGGTCGCAGTGCTGGAGGATACCGTGGCATCGTCGCCGAGCACCCGCCAAAGACCCTGTGAAGCGAGGCGCCGTGGCGGCTGGATTGGCCCCAAAGGCTCTTCAGGAGTCCTGATACTTCCCCCTACTCAAAATACCCGCTTCTTTCAGTTGGCATTTTTGGGAAAACCGGGTTTTTCATGGTAGTTACCTCCTTTTTTGGTAGAGGGTCGACATGATTCCCTGAAAAAAGAGGCTTTTTGAATTCGGGGTTGGTTCAACCCTCTAGGATTGAACCATCTTTGCCAGCATCATCATTTAGTAAAGGGCAAAGCCATCAGATGGTACCAAATATTCACAGGATGAAGGATGCATCCAAAAAAAGACTGGTAAAGGTGAGTTGTGAACTGGACGTGGACCCTGGCCTTTCTGATACCAACTCGAGACTTTTAGGGCATCACGTGAATTTGACAAAGACACTTGCATGGAGTTGTCTCGGGTTGAATTGTTTGTCTCTGGAAGAGTCATCGAAACCCCTCTAAATAGAAGCGCAGACGGAGCAAAATCGCAGCATCCATTTTCAAAAGCCAAAGCCTCCGACGACCCCGGAAGCAGAAGCGACCAAAGCTTTCCGGTCGAATCCGGGGCTGCAGGGCCCGAAAGCGCTGCCATGCCCAGTGCTTCACACCCGGCGGCTTTTCTGCAAACCCGCCAACTTTTCCAGCCATAAGTTGAAAGCCTGGAAAGACTTCAACTCACTTCCAGCTTTCCTGCACTAGTTCTGGGAAGGGCATTTCAGTAAGCGAACAGCTTGAACTCTTCTGGCCAATCCACTCAGGAAGTAATTTAGTCTAAAAGGGCTCAACAAGGAACAAACAAATGTTTCCAGGAAGTGCAGGAAGCAGTTTTGGAACCCACAAGGGCCCCTGGCTGCATTCAACCCGCCCACTTCTTGGCGTCCTAACATATGGGGCTCAGTCCAGTTCATGTCTGGATTGCGATGTTTGTAACGCCAGAAAACAATGAGCAAGGCAATCCTGTCTCAGTGGCGCGGCGCCCTCCCCAAATTCTGGGCAGTTCCTTGAAACCATTCTTTCCTAACTTTGGACCTTATGGCTTTCCGATCAAAGCTTGGACTGTGTCGGGCATCGCGAGAGTGAAATTTCCCTTGGCGGATCCGTCGTCGCTTGGTCGGGTGCCTTTGTTGGGGCTTCCGCGGCTTGCCGAAGCTTTTGGCTTTTGCTTGCGGCTTTTGTAGCTTTGGCTTTCGCCCGCATCACCAACCCTCAGCACTGCCACGAGAGCGTTGTAACCCACCCGAAACGGGTTTGGGATCAAGGCCCTGGAAATAGTTTAGGAGGCATTTGCGTCTCTCAAGTGAGCCCAAATGAAAACCAACCTTTTGGAGTGCAAATCCCTATGCATTTGTCTTTGCAGCCGTTTTGCGGGACCAGAAAAAAAAGTGGCTCTGAGGGGCCTGAGCCGGCCTCGCAAAGCAAGAGGAACCTGAGCATGGCCGCCTGCTGGCAGCCTGCCGTGAGCGGCCGTCCAAAAACAGGGATCCTTACATTATACACCTGAACATTGTCTTGAATGGTGGTTTCCCTTTATTTTGGTGGAAAAGCTATGTCTAAAATGGGCAAAATGTATCTTTTAAGGAGCCCTGAAAAATGGTTCTTGCAGTCTCCAACAAGAAAACAGGATTCAGATTGATGGATACATCCTGCTTGCACCTGCTTTACAAGGGGAATGGAATTGGGTGGACTTTTGACAGCCCCAAATGCATCCTGCAAGGAACCCCAGCCAAAGGCAGGGACCCGCAAAGGGGTGCTTTGGGCGCCCTGTTTTGCTGGACAACCCAAGCCCGAGCGAGCTGACCCAAAGCGAACCCCAGTGATACTGTCCGTTGCTCGAACTGCCATGGCAACACGGTGGTTCTTAGTGCTTCAGGCCCAGTACCCGTCCATGGCTATCAACCTGGCTTAGCGTGGAATCTGAGAAGCTCCTTTAAGCCTTTCGCCGGGTTTTCTTGACAAGAGCAGCTTTTTAAGCAAGGATCGCCTGACTAAGGAGAAACCTACCTGCGCATTTGCTCTTGGCCTTGTGGCCACGGAAAGCTCATTTCCAGGTCCCGGAAAGCCATGAGACCAGAAAGGCCCGTGATGCACTTGTCGCCGGCTGACGTGGGGGCCCGAGCTCTGCCGGCAACACGTCGACTCGCATGCGCCTCGACTACACTGGCCTGGGCAAATTGTGAACCTCTCTTGCCTGGACCCGGGGGACTACCTTGCGATCCGCGCTTTTTGAGGATGAAGAGCCTTCTTATTAGCAGTGCAAGCAACCTGCAAAACAAGAGGGGGGGGTCCGGCACGTCGCTCTTTCCCAAATCCTTGGCAGGAGGGAAACCAAAGAAAACCGGAGGGCCTTTGACAAATTGGCTGAGCAAATAGAACGGTGCCTGTCGAGAGTTACACTTTTAGGGAGTCAAACCGGGAGTCAAGGCAAATGCTTCGGACATGGCACAGCTGGGCATGGCGTGATTCATGCCATGGCATGTATTCACCAAGTCAATTTCTTTCCTTTTGTCAACAATCCTTTTTAAAGTGCGCTTGGAGGAAGCCGGGGGGGTTGAATCCTATGAGACCTCTCTTCCAGTGGCCTCTGCAAAGGGCTTGCCTCTGGGGGCCCGACGGCTCGCAGCCCACCGCGAAACGCGCGAGGAGCTGGTGGCCGCAATGAATTAACCTGGGAGCCGGCCGGCGGCCCCTTCAAAATGGCAGCTGTCAGCTTCTTACGATGTTCCTCCAAAAGTGATCCGAATCCCCTTTGAAGGAAAGACATCCACGCTTTCAAAATAAACCAGGGGGTTGCTGATCCTGTCCTGCTATGGGTCTTAGACGTATGAAGGGTAAATACAATATACCATATTGTTGCCACCTTGCTGAAACATGTGACCAACATTTGCTGAACCTCCGTTTGGCTTCCCTTGCAAGGCCGCGAGGGCCTCCTAAAATATATTGGCCCCTCATTACCTTGTGGCTGGCCATTGACTCACTCTGGTTCTCACAGGACTCGGTGCAGTTCCCTTAGGGCAACGGGCTCCTTTCTTTTCGTGCCCAGTTCAATACTCAAAACGGGGCCCACCATTTTGAGAAATCCGAGTGAATGATTGGTGGTTCGGAGGTTCGGGGTTCCCATTGACCTGGGGAAAGCAACCAAGCTAATCCAAACCAAGTGGTTCCCGAAAAAAGTTGAAGGTGAGAGTGAAAGGTCGTCGCTCAGTTCCCTTTGCCAAGTGCTAGAGGGAACGAACATATGGAATTCATGGGTTCCCTTCCCCTTGCACTCCAACCCCTCTGTCAGTACACATGTATGTAAACTATCTTTGTGATAAGGTTTTGGTAAACGCTAGTCAGGGAGCCGGTTTTGTCGGAAATCGGATTTCTGTCGAGTTTCTGTCAGCCATTTTTGGCTCTTGGCAGGTTGCTAATTATGAGGTTAACTGCAAACAACAATCTGTCGACAGCTGCCATGTTTGTCAGTATGCCCTAACAGCATGTAGGTGTAGTGACATTCCCAAACAAAACATGTTTTAACAAGAATGCATGGACATGACAGTTAGCAAAAGCCAATGCAACACGCCACCAGCAATGGCTCATGCAGTTTGCCCGGCTGCATCGCCTTGTCCTCAAGACATTTATTAGTTCTTTGGGGCCTATGCAATTTTGCAACACCAAGGCAAGAGGGTGAACGACACCATCGAGAAGGAAGCTGCTGAGGGATCAAGACGTGCCCTCTCCTGTTGGTTTGCTCTAGTTTTGGATGCCCAGCTTGTAGATCTGCCAATTTTTCCTACCACGCAGAACTGCTGAAAGAATCTTTCCTTTGAATTGGGGTCATATTCTTTCAGCAGTCTGCACCATGGCGTGAATTTACAGGTGGGGTATCCAAAGCATGCCCCATGTGCAAGGATGACAGACGCTTCTTTTTTGCAGCGCAGTGCGATTTGGTTCAAAGCTGCTCAGCCAGTGGCCTGCAGAAGTGCAGAGCTCGAGGATGCACACAGAGGCAATCCTACCACAACCAAATATAATATTTGATTGAATTCCTGTCAGGACCAAGTTCACCAGCAGCACGTGTTCCTGTTGCAGGCTTGTGTGATGCTGGCTACTCCACATGAATAACATGTTTGCCTGGCAGGATGTCATCCTCACGTGGGTCATGCAAGAGCCAGACCGGATTGTCAAGATCCGCACTAAGGCCATGCGTGTTGTTGATTGGGCTTTCTTGCAACATCCAAGTCAATGTTTGCAGGTTGTTGAATTTCCTGAGCTGATTGGTGATGGGCAAAACACCGAATCAGTCATGGCCTCAAGTCATGGGCGCAATTCACTGACTACTGTATGCATGACACTCAGGTGGAACAAAATTTCGGCTTCATGTGCGAATTCCTTGCAACCTTTGCACCGGTGGGAATTCCAAAGCTTGGGGCCTTCAAGGACTGACAAGTTGTGTGTTCCTCCAAAACGTGTCATGTTGAAAGTTGTTGCAGTAAACGTGTGCTTCCTGCAGGATGCGATGATGAATGTGCAGCGAACCCACATGTTGCTTCCAGACACGGACCTGAAGAAAAAGAATGTGAAGGACCCCACCTCCTGCAATGCCTGTGCATGCGTGATTCTGAATCAACAAACTTGTTTAACCTGGCCATGCTGCAGGATTGGATCAGGATGGTTGCTGGCTCACTACGTAGCCTTGCAAAGCATGTGGTGGTGCTCTACAAGCACTGCCCGAACAAATCAAGGTTCTGGGTTCCATGCTATTGCTTTCACGACATGCATGCACCACTGTGCAGGAAGATGCGGATCCAAGCCCTCAAGGATATCATCACCCAGTCCGTCCAGGAAAGTGGTCTCAAGCTTACTGCCTGTTTGATGGATATTCTGCGCTATGGCTCTTCAGCAACTTTGCAATTACTTGTAGGTACCGGTGGTGACAAGAACCTCATGCTGCAACGGCTGTTGAACTCTGCCCAGGAGCGCTGTTTCCCACTGTTGCATTGGCAAGAAAGATTGAAACCGATGTTTGACAGGAAAGTCCTCATTCAAGCCCAAGACCAAGCCCATCTCCGTGCCTGCAGAACTCGAAGGCGTGGATTTGATGACCTGGGTGATGCATCTTGGTCTTGTCAACGCAGCCAAGCTAAACGAAAAAGACCGATAGACGGGCTCCTCCCGAAATCATGTTCCACTGTTTGGGGTGGAAAACTCACCGTTGTGCACAGGCAGTCATTGCGCACGCGAACCATGTGTGCAAACATGACAGGCAGATGTGGACATGGAGAAAGCACAAGTTGGTGATCAGGCTGGCTGAAGTTTTGCACAGTGTAGCAAATAACACTGAAGAGCACATCTAGCTGACTTGAACCGCCTTCAAAGCTTTCAGAGCAAGATTGCGGGGCAAAATAGGAACATGGTATGTTCATTCATGATATTCATACTGGTGAGGCCCCAGAACAGAAGAGCATCGATGAGTCCGAGGCCCCGAAGCCGGATGTGGAGGAGTTGGCCTCATGCGAGCACAAGAATGCACAGTCAAGAGTATGCTCTGTGCAGGATGGCCCTTCAATCTCAGCCACCAAGGAGGAGTTCAAGCGGCAGGCCATCAAGGAGCGCATGCAGTTATGTGGCTTCATTGTCCAACATTAGTTGCAATCAGGATCGAAAGCCCTTGGCGCCACTTGCCATTAATGAGATGCCAGAGAGTTTTGCTGAGCAAATTGAGATGCTGGCAGCAACACCGGTGGTTGAAGCCGATGAGCTTGCAGCCCAGCGCAAGGCCTTGGGTTTTGAGTTCGGTCTGAGTGGCGCATCTGACGAATAGTTGATTTTAAGATGGGGACAGCCAATGAATTTCGACATGCTGATATTCATTCAACTAGTGCAATTTTCCCAAAACGCGCAGTCATTATTGTAGAGCTTGTTCCTCATGGAGCTCAAACCTGAAGCTAGCTTCAATGCCCTGAGGTGAAAGCTGCCGCAAAGCGTGCGCTAAAAGGAGAGGATGAGGAGGAGGAACCCCCAGAAGAAAAAGCCAAAGGACCCAAAAGAGCCAAGGGGAGCAAAGGAGCCAAAGGAGCCAAAGGAGCCAAGGGAGCTAAAGGAGCCCAGGAAGGCAAGGCTGGCCAAAACAAGCTTGAGGAGAAGGATGGGGACAACGAGAAAAAGGAGGACAATCCGAAGGAGACGGAAACTAAATGCAAACGCAGGATCAGGGTGCCCATTGACAACACTCACATCTGGCAGGAGGCCTCATCACAGGGTTTTCCAGACAAGCATATTGTCCCAGAATGTCATAAACCCTCCTGCCTGCGTGCGAGGTCTGGCCAGAGCTCCATGAAGCCGGGCTGCCACTTCCCGCTGAAGATTACCCTGCGGCCCAGAGAAGCAGCTACACGGTCAAGTTGGGTGATGATATGAGTAGCATTGGTGTGCTTTGGAAAGTGGGCCAGCTG